GGACCAATCAAAATCCCTAATTAGGTTATTAAGCTTCGCAAACTCGGCTTTACGAAAGCAGCGGACACGTTCAGGTAGTCTACTCGACCGATCCAATACAGTTGGTCCTATGTCTAGCGACACCTCGAAAGTAGGGTGGTAGGCGTCTTCAGGTATAGTGAGCGGAAGGGCTCGGGTTAACAACACTATGGTCGGATCCGATACAAAGCATAGATCAAGCAATCGACCCAAGGAATTTTTCACATGATTGACTTGAGACAAGGACAGGTCAAGCAAGCCGTCAACAAAGTCATGTCGTGACATGGGCACTAGGATGCTAGACTCGTTTACCGAAGACCAAACAGTTCCTGGCAAGTTGAAGTCACCAAGAACTATCATACGATCTTTATCAGATAGCGAGGAAGCAACAGCGGTTAAAGCGGACAAGTGCTGCTCATAAATTGAAATATCCGAAGAAGGTGGGATATACGAGCAAGTAATGAATATAGCGAAAGCGGGAAGAATCAGTTTTACACACAGGAATTCCAGTTCCTGTTGAACTTGGACTGTGAAGTGTTCTGACGTGAAGTAAGAGTCCACTGCAATTAGAACCCCTCCTGCACGTCGAGACGAACGGTCCTTTCTAAAAGTTGTGTACCGACCTGCCAAAACCTCGGAACTAAGAATGTCCGGCTTTAACCAGGTTTCAGTAAACACAATAACGTGGGAAGCAAATGCAACACTATCCCGGAAAAGAATGCTGAGCTTACTACGCAAGCCTCTTACATTCTGATAGGTTACTAAAAGAGAAGTTAGTTTTTTGCAAAGGTTGGAGCAAGACGGGAAGTTGAGGAAGAGGAAGTTGAGGTTGAGGGTGGCACGCTGGAAAGATTTGGAAGCGATATGGGGGGCCTATTCTTCTTCTTAGCCTTAAACTCCTTCACCACCAAATGCTCCGGCCAAAATTTGGTGGAGCAAATGGTGTCAAATTGAGTTGGGGAGATGCTTATCTTAAACGACGCTATCTCCCTGGCATAAGAGAAGTTAAATTTCTCCACCTTTAAGCCCACGGCTTTTATTTTGCTTTGAATGAAAGCAGTTACATCATTAGATGTGAGGTCAGGGGCCAGCCGTGAAACAAAAACTTGTCGTTTTGGTGGGACTCCCACCAGTGGTTTAGTCACCGCAGGTCTAGTACCTGTGGTGGCAATATCCGGGGGTCCGGAACGTCTATTTACTGGTGGGATCGGGATAGACGGGACAACTAGTGAACTTGCGGACACCACGGACACGGACGCAGCAGACGTACTTGGCTGCACATTCTCCGAGGCGATGAATTCGGCTACCGAATCTGCATCGCCAGCAGCTTTCGTTGCCTTTGGAGTGGCAAACGAGATCAACTGCTGTACACTTGGAGTGGTCGGAGTCAATTTTTCGGCGGCGGACGGCTGAGTGACGGTTGGCACTTGCAGGTCCCGCGGAGTGACCTTTTTGCGCCTCGGAGACTCATTCAGCAGCTTTAAACCGCTAAACTGAGCCTCCATGGCTAGGAGCCGATCGTACTGGTTTTTAAAACCAACGGTCAGCTCCTTAAAGCCACTCCGCGTCTGCCTCATGAAAGCCACCATGTCTTTCTCCACCGCACGGCATGCCTCGCAACTGTAATGCAAGCCATTACGTTTGGCTATGGCATCGCTCACGAGGCCAGAAAATCCCGCGCATTTTGCGTGGACTACGCTGTCGCAGAGCCAGCAGGGGACATTTGGCTGATCGTGAGTGATCTGCTTCTTGCAGGTTTTTTTAGCGCAGACCACAGCGAATTCCATTTTTTTTTTATTATTAAAATATTTTATTAAAATCAAAAAAATTAAAAATTTCCAAAACAAATTGGTATCAGACCAATGTGCCAGACAACGCTCAAAGCGGAATTGGTAAGAAAAAAAGAGAGCAGAGTGGAGAGCGGTTATAGCGAGAGCTACTAGATAGAGAGCGCTATTGCTCAGAAAGTTGAAAGAGCGAGAGAGAAAGAACAGTTATTGAGGTTGAGGTGATAGCGAGAGAGTGATAAGACAACAAAAGCTACCAGACGAGAGCGGACTGCAATGCAATACTCACTCACTGCAACAACACAACACAAGCCGACGCCGAAAAATAAAAAGTTAAATAATATTTTAACACAAATCAAAAGGCATGCACTCGCGTAAAAGAATAGGTTTCCAGATTGTTGTCTGGTTAGAAAGTATATTTAGAATTTAATTAGGAAAACTCCGGCTGTTTATTCGAAACAAAAGGAAAAATGCGGAGCGCAAAACAAAAACACGTCTGATCACTACGAAAGAGAACGAAGTTTTTTTGCGGGGGCGGAAGGGGGTGTTGCGAAATTTTGAAACAAACTTGTCAAGGTGCGACAACACAGGAGTGTGGATACCAAATTTGGTTGCTCTAGCTTTTAAAGTCTCTGAGATCTTGAAACTCACATTTTGCAATAGGCAAAGCCGACCATGAAACGTGTTTGTTAGAGACAGACACAGCGAGAGAAAATTAAATAGTTTTCATCATTCTGGCAATAATAATTATACGATTCTGGTTTTGCACCCTAGAACATATAGTCATCCTCTACGATTCTGCGTTTTCTGTTTTCTCATATCGTTAAAATTGTGGATGCTACAGATTTTCGCCCTCTGTGGGGACGGAAGTCGGCGTGGCGAAGTTTTGAAATATACTTGCAACGCTGACATATCACAGAAGACTCGATACAAAATGTCTTTGCTCTAGCTCTTATAGTCTTTGAGAAATAAGCGCTAATAGAGACGGACAGACAGACAGACAGGGCTGTTGCAAAATCAACGCAAGCTGATGTTGCAGATGAAGGATCAAGGTGACCAACAGCAACCGATGATATTGCAAGTGAAGCATCAGGTCAAAGATCACTGTTAAGCCCAATCAAAAAGATTAGAAGCAATAGGAGCATTCGCTCCCACAATTGTCGAAAATGTGGGGCATCCACGGTGACTACGCAACGTGTATGGGATATAAATTTAAAGCTGAAACTCACAACAGGGGCCTGGAAACATCTGAAACAATACGGACGGACGGACAGTCGGACGGACGGACAGGCAGAAATGGCTCTATCAACGCGGCTATTGATGCTAGGGTCGGAAATGCTTCCTTCTGGGTGTTACACACATCCGTTTTCCTCACAAATCTAATATAGTATCCCTACACTCTTTTATCGGGTAGAAAAATGAACTTTTGCTGAATTTAATATGTTTTCACGGTTAATGAAATGATACGTTAGTTGGTTGAATTAGTTATCTTTGAATACATTTTGAAAATAATATAGGGACAGAACTATATGGAAATGTATTTTTATTGTATTCTACCAAAGACTATACAATACCAAGATGTTGCATGAGCGACCAAAAAGCTGTTCTATGGCGGGTCCTAACATTAGAACCCAAAAGGCACGCGGGAGCGCGCGGGGTTTCAATTCCCTTTTCGCCTGTACTTCGTCTCTACCGCGACCCCGCTGCCCATCGGTTTCGTCTGTTCGGCAATTCTGGACTCTCGAGCCTCAGCACCGTCGAAGCGGTGGTCGCGGATCGCCGATGTCTTTGGAGCGGCACAGTGGGAAAATTCGATTGGAAAATTCTCTATTAGAATTTATCTAAAGCACTCATACAATTTTTTTACTATTTCGGCTGAGTCCCCACTGTGCCGCGCCAAAGACATCAGCGACCACGCTGCCCTACGGTTTCGGCACGCAGACGATTCATATTTTGTTTTTGTATTCTTTCTCTCGAGACGCACCGACTCGACGCTGACCGAGGCATTGACGAAGCCGAGCATTTCGGAGGCGAAGGTATCGTAAAAGAGAATTGAAGTAATAGCCCCGCGCGCCCGTACCATGAAGTGTCAAACGAAAATTGAAAAAGAATTTGTTCCTCCTGCAACATCTTGGTATTGTATAGTCTTTGATTCTACCCTATCGGCTTCAGTATTTTTTTTTTTTACATTTTTATATTTTTGTTGTTTTAACTCTTGCTTTTTTATATGAAAAAGAGATGTTAATTAACAGCTAATGAATGATATGTACAATACAAGTATATCCCGACTGACTGTTAAGATTTTGAATACGCGCCATCGGTTTTAAGTTCAATAACATGAGTGGCCACATTTCACAGTCCGCCACTATATGCCACAAGTATAAAATTTATATTCAGAGTCGAAGGTCTAGTTACTAGTACTCTAAGCACCATTCAAACCTCTTAGATTTAATTTGGTATATTTCTTTTAAACGTTTAAGGATATAATAATAAATAAATAATTTCTATACATACAGAATTTTTGGGGCATTATAATATTATATACGTACTAACTATATATAGATACATTTGTATAGAAGTACATTTATATACCAGATTTGATGATCGCCATTCAGCATTCTTAAACGCACCCTGTTTGCGCATATAATTCTATTGCGCAGCTATACATACTTGTGTATATTTATATACACACCCATGATGCAAAAATTTGTAAGGTGGCCAAATTCATTCGTTTATCGCACAAAAACCATTTTATTTTGTTCTATGTTCTATTTTACTGCTTTGGAAAATATATGTAGCTGTAATTTTTGCTTCCGGAATATTTTTTAGTGGCTTACAAATCTGAATGGTGTATGATTAAATTATAAAAAGAATAGCAAATGACTTATATTTATTTTTTGCAACCTTACACTATTTCCGCCATACACATAAATGGAAAAGCATGCGTACATTCTCATGCTCTCATTCCTCATTTACTTATTCGAAGAGACACAAGATCAAGGTCTTTGTAATACTTAGTGAATACGAGGACCAGAATTTATATAGCTTGTGAATAGTTCTGCGTGTTCTTTTATGATATACAAATAAAATGAACATGTTTTCTTACTGGAATAAGAAAACAAAAACAGTGCCCATTTGTTCGATAAACGAAAATTATTTAAAGCCTGACACAGTTGCATCAGTTGAAAAAAGTATAAATAGTCTAACAGTTGAAGACATGGAAAAGGAAAAGTTGTCACTGCTCAAATCAGACATTCGTCTTCAGGAGTTTCAAGAGTTTGTAAGAAGAGTGCAAACGTTGCAGATGTCATCGACAGAGGCTATTGAAAAAGAAGATTCTATAGCTAATCACAGCATGGACTCTAGTTCGTTTCCAATTGAAGTCGGCGTGGAACCTTCGATGTTAATGGAACTTGAAGACATTGACAGTGTGGTGCCTTTATCAGCATCGTCACGAAGGGATGGTCAAACTAAGTCCACGGCGACTACAAATATAAGAGTAACTGTCGGTATAGATAAAGATTTAGAAATGATTCTTGAAATGGATCCAAGCATCGTAGATTTGGGCGATATTAGCACCGAAACTACAGAACCGCGCATAGTGGGTCTACCGCCTCTCTCGGGTGGGTATGTATTTAGTCCATTATGAAAGAATTATCATATTCAATATAAATTAAAGTCTTTAGTACAGTTTGGCAGAATTTTTATGCATCGTACATTTTCTACTTATAGACCAACGTTTAAAACTGCAACTCCTACATCGCGGACGCAGCTAAAACTTCAATTGCAACGTGAGCAACAGCAGCAGGAACAGCAGCAACAAATGATGGTGCAGCAACTGATATCACCAGATCCAAAAATGCAGCTTTTGTTTGGCATGGGTCAGGGGTCGACTGAGTCGGAATTCATAAACAGCAACAGTACCAGCGCTTGTGGGAGCGGGTCATCTAGCCTGGAACAGATCTCTCAATTTGTACAAAGGGATCGTTTACCTTCGTCAAGTCCAGTTAAGTTGAAAGTTCCCCTACAAAGTATTGGTGTGGATGTACCACCTCAAGTGCTTCAGGTAATTCACAGCTAACGCTTTGTGTCGAAAAACGTTTTAAGCAAGGCATTTTACAGGTCAGCACAGTGCTTGAGAATCCGACTCGGTATCACGTTATACAGAAGCAAAAAAATCAAGTGAGACAATTTCTCAGTGAGTCGTTCAAGCCATCTGTTTGGGGTTGTCATAACACCGATGTAAGTATTTTTTGGACACTTGGAAAAGATTCTGAAATAAATGGTACATATTTTTTCATGAACTTATAGACGAAAGCCGCAAATACCTCAGTATCCACTGGAAATCTACACAATTCTTCTTTGGTCAACAGTTGCCCTCCAATCGAGCGGTCAAATAGTTATAGATGTGAAATTACTTCCAGTGGCAAACGAACAATGCATTCTGATGAATCCATGCAAATATCTCCTTTTGGAGCAAGTTTTTTAAGAACTGGAAACTGCAACGACCATGTTTCATCGAGAAGTATTAACCCTCAAAGTTCAGAAGAATCCACAGAAATTGTAAATAAAACACAAGGATATGTTAAGAGGAATTCAAGTTTAAATTCTTCTATTACTACACGTACTGCATCTGGAATAATTAATACGATGCCCACATCCAGTACAACGAGTTCATTGCACTCCATTTCAGCACCCATATCCCCAAGTCTAAGCTCTGTAGCTACAAGTGCTTCAGAGGTGAGTAAAAATAGTATTTTAATTTTTTGTAACCCATTAAAAAAAAAAATGGAAAAAAAACAAACAGCTTAGTAATAGCAAAGACAATACAATACCAAGATGTTGCATGAGGAACAAATTCTTTTTCGATTTTCGTTTGACGCTTCATGGTACGGGCGCGCGGGGCTATTACTTCAATTCTCTTTTACGCTACCTTCGCCTCCGAAATGCTACTCGGCTTCGTCAATGCCTCGGTCAGCGTCGAGTCGGTGTGTCTCGAGAGAAAGAATACAAAAACAAAATATGAATCGTCTGCGTGCCGAAACCGTAGGGCAGCGTGGTCGCTGATGTCTTTGGCGCGGCACAGTGGGGACTGTAGTAAAAAGTAGTAGTAAAAAAATTGTATGAGTGCTTTAGATAAATTTAATGTAGGCATCTAATAGAGAATTTTCCAATCGAATTTTCAAGATAGTTTTAGTTTAGGAGATATAAGCACTCAAAGTTTAACATTTTTCAGTATGCAAATATTAATTGAACTCATATTCACTAACTAATTTAGCAAGCTGAGACGGCCAAAGGTCCCACTGTGCCGCTCCAAAGACATCGGCGATCCGCGACCACCGCTTCGACGGTGCTGAGGCTCGAGAGTTCAGAATTGCCGAACAGACGAAACCGATGGTCAGCGGGGTCGCGGTAAAGACGAAGTACAGGCGAAAAGGGAATTGAAACCCCGCGCGCTCCCTCGTGCCTTTTGGGTGCTAATGTTAGGACCCGCCATAGAACAGCTTTTTGGTCGCTCATGCAACATTTTGGTATTGTATAGTCTTTGGTAATAGGCTTTTTAGAGAGACTTTGAGGAACAACTTTTATTAAGAATCATCTTTCTTAGAGGAGAAAATATTAAAGTGAAAATTGACTGCACAAAAACAAAAAAATACCGAAAAAGTGAACTTTTCCCACAACATATGAATTTCAGATTAAAGCTCATGAAATTATATGCTAAATTAATATCGGGACTTAATTATATGAAAATGTGTTTATATTAGCTTTTAAAAACCGAAAAAAATATGGTCGAAATATGGTGTAGAATTATTTGAAAAATTCATCGGATATGATTGTAAACTTATTTCCCGGGAATTTTTGGGGTCGCTGATTACGAATTATATGAAAGTTTTCGAGAGTATCCAGTTCTTTTTTCTTCGATAGTTGAGTTGAGTTCCATTCGAATGCATTATTTTTTTTTGCCTCAACATTTGGGCAGCAAACAGTGTTGTCAACTTTTGAGATAAAAAATAGTTGTTTTTGTGGTAAAATGATAAAATAGCTTGTGTTTTTTTTTAGTTTTAGTTTCAGAAACTAAATTTTTTTAGAAAAATATATAAATATTTTAAATATCAGATTCCGCTAATATTAGATTTCAATTTTAAAAGGAAATCTAGCTTTAACGAGGGGGAACGTTGTGAGTTGCTGCTGCGACCGCAACTCTACATTTATACCCGATACATAGTCAGTATGGCTACGCTGAGCGCCAAAGAGTGCATGCGGGAGAGACAAAAAAAAAACGTGTTTGAACATGTCGTCGGGCGCTGCGTAGCCACTGCAAATTGATTTTTTACTTTTGGCTATAAAAATGATCCGATCTGATCCAGATTCGGCAAGCTGGTAGATGTGGTCAATCCTTATGATTGTGCAGTTTTAGTTTTGTTGTATCTTCAACATTGGGATGCCACAGATTTTCGTCCTTTGTAGGGGTGGGGTGAAATTTTGAAATACATTAAGATCTAACAGGAGTATGAATACAAATTTTGGTTGCTCTAGCTCTAAAAATCTTTGCGATTTGCGGATGCCAACGATTTTCGTCCTTTGCGGGGGCGGAAAGTGGGGGGGCGAAATTTTGAAATACAGGTTCGATATCACAGGAGTGTGGATACCAAATTTGCCTGCTCTAGCTCTTATAGTCTCTGAGATCTAGGCGCTCACTTTTTGCGATAGGGAAAGCCGACCATGAAACGTGTGTGCTAGAGAGAGACGGAGCGAGAAATAACGAAATAGTTTTCATCATTGTGGCTTTAATAATTATACGATCTGGTTCGGATTCTGCAGTCTAGAACAAACTGTGAGTCTCTACGATTCTACATATTCTACGATTCTTGATAAATCTTATTTTTTTAGGAGCGTAGGCCCGTGTATCGAACATTTTACAAAAAATGTGTACGAAACTGTACTGTTCACAAATAATTAAAAAAAAGAATTGGTGAAGCTTCGCATGCGCTGAAGCTTTCTCGAATATGATTGATATATGTATATGCGTACGATATTTCGGAGACTTGGGCATTGAACTGACCATTTTTCTAAATCTTACTTTGATAATGCAATAACACCAAAAACCACATATTGTTAAGTTTGTTCAAATGTCTACAGAGAAAAGTTCTCATGACGACTTCGTTATACAAGTAAGGTATCTGAATTTTTGCTTGTGTTGCTGTTTGATTTAACAACAAACCACATTTCTAAATCAATATCAGGTGTCAAATTAGTTTAACTGCCTAAGGCTGACTCTAAAGTTTTCTAAAGATTTGGTACACAAAATTGTTTTAATGAAAAACTAAAAAAAAATTAATTTTCTTTAAGCTTTAAAGCGCGACCCTGCGCCTTTAAAAACCTATGGATTAACGGCTAAACAGTTACAAACTATCTATCAGAAAAGTCGGTTTGATGCCAGAAAAAAAGGCCAAATAGTCAACTATTCAAATCAATAGATGCGGAATAACCGACTTAATGTGCAGCGACTGTTCGTATACAATTTCAAACTTCTTATTGTTTTTCTTTACTGTTTTTGGTCTCGTACAGATAGAAGGGAGTAGTGGTAGGTTGTTCATGAACGAAAAAAGGGATCAAAAGATTGAGCGACATATAACGCCATTATAACCGTCGCGATTTTTTATTTTTATACCCGGTACTCGAAAAGCTTAAAAATGTATTATATTTTTGGTAGAGTAGAGTAGATGTGGATGTGTGTAGCAGAAGGAAACGTTTTCGACCGTATAAAGTATATATATTCTTGATCAGTATTATACAATAAATTATTGTAGTCCAGTAGGCCGACTATCGAGCTGTCATTCGGAATGGAACTTATATTCTCTCGGAAATAAAGCCTCTCTAAATAATAGAAAAGAGCTCTCTGTCTCTATTTCTCAATCAAAAATACGAACCATAGAAACGTAACAATATATTGTATATGTTACATAAATCATATATTGACAATACCGGGTATAAAACTCACAACGTTTCAGCTCCTTATGTTTTCGAGAAATATTGTTTTCCAAAGATTTTCCAACTAAAAAACATCGCAAGGTTAATTTTAAATAATTTGTAGTCAACTTATTTCTTATTTAAAGTAAAAAAAAACATTTAATACTACTTTTTTTTGCAGATACCATCATTTGACAGCGATGTAAGTAGAAACTAAATATTGTAGTATTAACGGCATTGGTGGAAAGAGAGAGGGTGTTATGTAACTCTGCGGTTTGAAACCAGACAGAATATTGGTCATTAGGTGAAAGGGATAGACGGAGTTTAGAAATGTATTATACCATTGAGTTACATAAATCATAAGATGGAAATATGTATAGCGAAAACTGAGTAACGGGTAGTTTTGACATTTGTGACAACATTTTTGCAAGGACGACTAGGACGGTGCTACAAATTAAGATTTGAAATGTTAAACGATTTTTGATTTGCAGGCGGAAGATCTCTTTGATGATATACTACAAAACGACTCGTTTAATTTTGATAAAAATTTCAACTCCGAGCTTTATATTAAACAGGAACCACATAGCTTGACTGATGCTGAAATAAATGCTATGGCAAAAGATCGACAAAAAAAGGATAACCACAATATGAGTAATCGCACTACATGTGTAGTTTTTTTCCGAGTGGTGATTACTTACTTATATCCTCTGATTTTCAGTTGAGCGCAGACGACGCTTTAATATTAATGACAGGATCAAAGAACTGGGTACCCTTTTGCCAAAAGGTAGTGAAGCTTTTTACGAAGTCGTCCGTGATATTCGACCTAACAAAGGAACAATATTAAAATCATCTGTGGATTATATCAAATGCCTAAAACATGAGGTTACTCGTCTGAGACAAAATGAGTGCCGGCAGCGTCAGATGGAAATACAGAACCGCAAGCTTATGTCTCGCATTAGGGTAAAGTATTAAAATTATATCTTCCAAAAAAATATGTTCGCGGTCATTAATAGATATAATTTATATTTTTTTTAGGAGCTGGAAATGCAGGCCAAGTCACAAGATATTACTTTATCGGACTACCACGTAACATCAGTATCGGCACCCACCCCAGCAAACTTATATCTCAAAAGTTCAAGCCCTACTCCACCTGTTTCTCAAAGTCGTCGTTCACTTTTGGACGAATTAATAGTTGTTGAAAGAAAAGTAAGTTTCTACACACTAAGTAAATTTTTCCAGCAAAATTAAGTTAAAATTTGTTCTATAAAGATACCAGAAATAAATACCAGCGAAGCCAGCATGGGTATGAATCAGATCGATGAGCTCATGGAAGACTGCAAACACCCGGTTCAAGGGGGCGATCCGATGTTGTCGTCTCATAGTCACATGCTATCTGCTTCACATTCGCCTACTGCTAATCAGCTGAATTGTACCAGCTATGGACCAAAGAGCAGCTCGAATGCAAATTCTGGACTGTTTAACGAAACGCCCAGCGTCAACATTTCAGATGATCTTACCAACTGCTGCAATATCGCTTGCAGCAATTCATGCTGTATTCATCGCCAGTTGCAGACACCTGAAGGCCACATAAATAATTGTCATATAAATAGTCAGCAAAGCAACATGGAATCTGATTCTGTTCAAAACACAGTGTTTGGTAGGCTTGGACATTGCAATGGTGATCACGATCCACTGTTTTCATCATCCCAACGTTCACATGGTCCATTGGACGATGATCAACATCATTCTGTTGGCTTGTCTGCTGCGATGATAAACGATTCGCTTACTTCCTTAGTAGACGAAAGTCAAAGTGAACCTATGATTCTTACTTCTGATACTTTGGATATTGACCTTTGAATCATCAACTTTTGCAATACATCAGTAGTCCAAAGTCTACAAATTAGTATTATGCAGTAGGCGTGGCTGAAATCATCGCAATCACACTATATAAATTTGTTATATACACATGTCATATTAATTATCTACAGTATTGGAAATCCATAGGAAAGTTTGGATAAAAAGAAAATTAGAAAAAGGCTTGCTCAATGAATTATAGTGAAATTTTGACGTCAATTTTTTGTCTTTTCGCACAAAAACTTAATTAGTATTTACTAATAATTTTATTCATATGTCAAAATGTCCAAATATGTTATAATACATTTAACTTCCTGTGGACTGATTTAAGTCTTTAAGCCATATGTGTGTTATGTATTTAACGATTACTGGAATTACTAATGATTACCAATCCGTAGAACACTGTCAAAATCCTTCTTCCACATTCACATAGATCTTAGTAGAAAACGAGTATATAAATATATATGCATTATTTTCCCATAATACATTCCAATTTTGTAAGCAATTCTAATTTTGTAATAGATTACTATGTAGGATATGTATGCAATTATTACGTATCTAAGATTTTCAGAAGAAATTGTTTTTTAATGTTTAAATGAAAACGGTTTGATGAGTAGCAGAAGAGTGAATGAAAGTCCTTGTGTTATTGTTATACGAATAATTATTATATATTTTATAATAATACTGAGTACAAGATATGTACAACAAATTTGTTATATTTAGTATTTGATGCTGTATTTTTCTTGTTTAATTGTTACACTTGTTGATTTATATAATTGATAAAAATTAAAATTAAATTGTCTTTTCTTGAATACATTCCAGCAGTGCTTCTCCAACCGTTCCAGCAAACTGGCTTATAAAAAAATAGTTCAAATCGCCCAAGATCCAACCCCAAATCAAGTTGTGGAGAATTTGCGTGTCCGTAAAATCGCACAAATTATCATTCAAAAGGACGCGGGGTCGCCTGAAACTACTGTAATGAAAGAAATTGTATTTTTATTATTTTGAACCCTAATTGACTGGGAACATTTACAAACAACCAAAACAGGAAATTCTGGGAGGCTGTAGTGTTACAAAAGTTTTCCTATATAAGAAAACTAAGCAAAATTATATTTTTCTCACAGACGCAAAAATGAAGCCTTCGGGCATTTCAGCATGAAAAATATTCACTTCTGAACGATTAAAGATATTTTCATAGCATAAATTGTATTTTTATTTTATCGTACAATATCTTAGAGCTTTCAATGCGTTGCTAAAGTTGCACTTTGGTGTAGGAGCATATGTATTTGCTCAAAGCTCATTTTAAAACTCAGTTAAAGTTTTGTTGTTGATCAAAGTAGTTTTAAAGTCATTTTAAACGAATTTATCATTTTATATTACCATTATTACCGGTACTCGAAGAGTATAGGGGTATATTAGACTTTTGGTGGAAGTGTATAGTGTAAAACCCAGAAGGAAGCGTTTCCGGCATCATAAAATACACGTATATTCTTGATCAGCATCAATAGCCTAGCCGAGCGATATAGCCTTGTCGGCCGTGTCCGTGTTGATTGACGCCTAGTGCTCAGAGATTATAAGACCTAGAAAAACTATATTTTGTATTCAGACTCCTGTGATATCACACTGAATCAAGTTTGTTTCAACTGACGAAAATCTGTAGCATACACGATTTTAAAGATACGACAAAATCAAAAACTCATAATCATAGAGATTTACCATATATTCCAGACTGCAGGATCTGAATTAGAGCCGATCATTATCAGACATAAGTATCAAATGAAATTTTAGTCACACACTCTTTCTAATGCGCCAAAACATACCGAGATAGAAGAAAATATTGTACTATTAAACTAACAACCAAACAGGTAAAATTTGAGAAATTAAAATATTTAAATTTATGTAGGTTTCAGTTAAGACAAATTCGAAAATCGAATGAAAATTAGCCCCCTTTAATATGATCTTATACTATCTTATTCTAGAATTTAAAACCGATTTTATATACATATACATATTTATTAAGGATCTAATCAATTATTTTCAGCGTAGGACAAATCGAATTCCAATGTTACACTTTAGGTTCTTCAAACGATTCATTTTTTCGCCAATTCAGCCGAAAGCCAATCAAGTCCTTCATATAGCCCATGCCCTTGTGTGGCACAAGTTGCTTGAATAAACCACTAGAAATGGGAAAAGGGGTATTAATACTATTCGCATGCTAAACATAAAAAATATGTACATGACGGTTTCTTAATTGGTTCAGTCGCAACTTGTCTGTGAGCTCGGCGGCAGTCATTGCATTCGGTAGATCTTGTTTATTAGCAAAAACTAACAGCACAGCATCTTTAAGTTCATCTTCTTGGAGCTAGAATGGAAATATACATTTTGTTAGTGCATTCGTTAGCTATTGAAAATTTGACTAGGAAAGGAAAATACCATATTCTGAAGTTCCTTTTCGGCCTCATTGATACGATCACGGTCGTTGGAATCCACAACAAAAATTAAACCTTGCGTATTTTGAAAGTAGTGGCGCCACAATGGTCGAATTTTATCTTGACCACCGACATCCCAAACGGTAAAACATATGTTTTTATATTCCACGGTTTCTACATTGAAACCGATTGTAGGAATGGTTGTCACAATTTCTCCCAGCTTAAGTTTGTAAAGAATGGTCGTCTTTCCAGCTGCATCTAAGCCAACTGCGTTCGAAAATAGCGTTTAATGCGCATAATTAAACAAAAATCATAAAAAAAAGAGTATAGATAATTTTCATGACTATCACGACTATTTGTAGTATAGCCACCACCTAGAACAATTCACAACTTTTTAAACATACCCATTAGAATACGCATTTGCTTTTTGCCAAAAAGACGTGTCAAGAGGCTAGATATAGTCAACCCCATATTATTTTTTTATTGCTTAAGCAGCGATAAATTTTGTACTAAGTAAAATGTGTTTCTTTTTTTTCTATTTCAATTGACGTGTAAGCAATTTATGTAGTGAGGCAGTGAACTGTCAAAATAAAAAATAGTACTACACTAAAAATACTAGAATTTAGTCGGTATTTTCTATGCCACCAAATATTACAAAAAAAATAATAGGCTCTGCACACTGAGCCCATCCCGGGGGATTTTATCGGTTAGGTCTGCGCATCGGCCAACATCTATTTTTCATCCCAAACACCTATGTAGTTTTTTTTTTGGAGGTACCCGAAGGAGAGATCTGATCGGGTCAAGATTTGCTATGCATAATTTGGTTACACGTTTTAAACGATGTCAAGGATCTCATCAACACGCAAAAAAATTCCAGAATGATTTATTGGAAGTGCTGAAAAATAATAATAAATAAGTTTCTAATTACACAATATTTTGCGATTGCAGATCGTATCTGTTCTGCTGACTGATTAGTCACCAGACCTATTGCTGCTATCGGGCTGTTCGCATATTTTGCTGATGAACCACAGCCCAAATAATTGCTACATCCTTCATCATCCATTATAAGAAAAAAATTAAAAAATTTTCCGCGAAAATTTAATGGACTTGTTTTTGACGGATGGTGCCAGTGTGAATCGGAGTTTCACTTCTATAAGTAAATCCCACCGTTCCCCGTAAGGCCGTACGAGCCACCCAGCCACCAACTAGCTCAGCGCCTACTCCATGAGCCAACGCATGCATCTTGAAACGTGTATGTGCGCGGATAGTGTCTGGCGGCAGCCTGTTGAAAGGTGATAATTCCGCAGAGGAGGTCTCGACCATTTCGTCACGCACGGATACCGGCGCACACTTATACACCAACGGAGAAACACAGAACCCAGCCTCTTAAACTGCTGATTTATAAGTACCCAGAAATCGTGATATAACAATAAACGACGAAAGCCAATGTCTAAACAAACGAAAGAGTCAATTTGTTTGCATGTGTTATTTAATGAGCATGCGACTACGCTTTACCAAATCCGATCTTAGCACGAGCTCTGCGCAAAACTCCACACTCCAACTCCTAACGGTAACACACACTGCTATTACATTCTGCAAAATTCTGATAGTGTGCTAAAATATATAATAGTCTATCAAAATTATCTCAGACAATGCTAATATAGTGCTGGTTTAAAATACATTGCGTAAACGATTTTTTCGAATTTCAATTTAATTAAACCAATATTAGGTTTAAGAATGAAAATATTTCAAGTGGTATATTTCTTCATTCAAGCTTCATTGATTACTTTCTTCGTGTGTTTCTACTTAGTACTTTAAACGCACAAACGCCGGGAATATCATGAGGTCTGTATATAAACGCAATACAATGAGCTTTTCATTAACAAGTTATATTTTCCGATAGGGAACATATTGCTTCACAAAATATTATTTCTTAAACTGTTACATAAGTACCCTGAATATTTTTTGCTTACACATATTTGGTTACTGAGTAAGTAAGTAATTTATTTATTAAAATATGTATAAACAACTTATGCCATGTCATAATATTTTGTGATTTAATTTAAATATGTATTTAACCCTAAAAATATTTCTTTAAAAAATGATTGTTCATCCCTAGAATTTTAAACCTTACATTTTGGAAAGTGGTCGATCGGTGTTTATCGGTTATGCATGTCTTTTAATTTCTTTTTAAATTATTTTTGGAAACGAATATTTGGTAACTCAAATATTATACATAAGTGCATGTTTATTCGTACATACGCATTCATGTATTTATCTATCTATTTAAGTGTCTAAGCATAGGTGCCACAAAAATAATATCAGTGGTGTGTTGCTTGTTATTTTCTGGATTTCGTTGTCCTGTTAAGACTATTTGTCATATTGCTGAATTGTTATTTTTTAACTACAACATTAATCGATAACTTTATTAAAAACATGCATTAAAAATCCATACCTCTGCCTATATAGTTGTGTTGTTTACGCATGCCGTTGTTGGGACGTACATATGTATGTATATAGACAAAAACATTCTACGCTATTCAAATTTTGTAATTATATATATGCATTTTAACACTTGAGTTGTCCAAAAAACTTACAATGCATCAGGATACTTTTTCAGATTCTGAAACATAAAACGGTCTATATACATCAATTTCGGAAATTTACTAAGGGAATAAAACTCAGGAAATAAAATTATATATAATAACCTAACACATACATATTCCTGCATTGGTGTATGTACGCATGTGAGAAATGATTTGGTACGTCCTGTGAAGTACAAAAAGTGTATAATGGATACAAACTTCGTTGACATGGCATACGAACGTTATGGAATACTAGTACAAAATGAACAATACGATGAAGATTTAACAAAGCCTGATGACATTCAAAAAATTAATATCAACAATGGTGAGTTTTGTAGACTGCTTTTAATTTTCAAATGTTCTAACATATGTACAATTTACACATATGTATATGTTTTTTGTTTGAAGCCGTTTTTATTCCGGACGGCATTTCCAGCAGCAGTCAAATAAATGCACAAAGAAATAAAATGTTTGATTCGTTCCTTCAGTCGGAAACTCAGTTTAGTGAAAACATAATGAATACAAGTATGCATGGAAAACAGTTACTGAAAGCATCGGAGAACGTTTGCCCATCTAAAATGTAAGAAAAGTCGTTTAAGTCGTATGTACATACATATGATGTTCACATAAAATACATAAAAATATATGTTCTGTTGCGTAAATTTTGTCTAAAACGTTTTATATTTATTTGTAGAAAGAAGAATGCCAAGCACTATTTGACAAACTTTGAAATGGCGGAAAACAGCGATTGCTCCGAACAGCACGAAATTTCAAAGGCGTTGGTAAATTGCCTTCAAAACAATGTAAGAGAAATAAAAGAGTCTGATATTGGCAACCGCATTACTGAAACTTCCGAAACAATTGGGCTTATATCATCTGGAAAGTCGAGACGCTGGGAACAAAAACTAGTTCAAATTAAAACAATGGAAGGGGAATTCAGTGTAACTATGTGGGCATCTGGAACATCCGATGACGAGTACTCTGGGTCTGAGCAAAATATTGGCGAAACGGATTTTATGAAAGAAAAAGATAACTCATCTGATGGGGCAATGGTCATTTCACAGAGCCATGAAACTGAATTAGATTTTGGACACGAGGAATCTATGTTACGGCAACAGTTGTTGTTCCATCAAGAATTGCAAATGCAGCGGCAGTTAAATGCTGTTCCGTTAACAGGACAGTTACCAAAGGAGAAAAAACTTCCTGCGCAAGTAAAGAATCCTTCCATTAAAAGCCTCACCAAATCAATGTCCAGTTGTGAAACTCAACCTCTGTTAACAAATTCCATTATAAGTGCCCAGGCTATAAATCGGTCTGGCGCTATTACAATTGAAAGTCACAAATTATTAGATAATGATAATGTTTGCGATTCACATTCGGCAGGAACACTGCCTTTTGGTCTTGTTCTGCAAGGAAGTCTACAATCAGATAGATCGTCAACTCCACCTCAACTACCATATAATGAAAACTTGGGTAAAAACCACTAATATGTATACCATATAAAGTTATTCTAACATGACAATTATTAATTCATTTCTTAGGAGCTTCAGTCACAACCACTGATCTGGAACTCAACAATTCCCATGACTTGGTGGCTTATCCAAACGATAAAAAAATAGCATGCCCCCATAAAGGATGTCATAAAAATTTCAGAGACTCGTCTGCAATGCGCAAACATTTACATACGCATGGTCCTCGTGTGCATGTTTGTGCAGAGTGCGGAAAAGCTTTTGTAGAAAGTTCTAAGCTAAAAAGACACCAGCTCGTTCACACCGGAGAAAAACCATTTCAGTGTACTTTTGAAGGATGTGGAAAACGTTTTTCCCTTGATTTTAACTTAAGGTTATTAGTCCCAGGAAGATTTTAAACAATTTAACTATGATAATATCAAAACATATTTTTAATTTTTAGGACACACGTAAGAATACACACCGGAGACAGGCCATTTGTTTGCCCCTTTGATTCCTGCAATAAAAAATTTGCTCAGTCCACAAATTTAAAATCACACATATTAACTCATGCAAAAGCAAAGTAAGTGCTTTCTTAAATTTCAAAATTAATTTAAATAAAAATGGGGGAAATATACATCTAACTATATTGTTATTTTTTAGGAGGAACACAGGTACTATGCGCCACAGTACTTGTTCGAACAACGATTCAAACAGTCCTAGTGATGAAAGAAATTCAACAAATTATATTAAGGTAGAACTGCGAGATAATGTTTCAGAAAACAATGTTCCCTTTGTAGTGTATGCAGACTGACAAGTTTGTATATTTTTAAATGGTATGAATAGAATATATGTATTGTAAGATTATGTTTATAATATATTATGTAAGAATCTTTCCCAAACATACATGGATGAAAATAAAAGTAAAATGCTTCTCAACAAAATTTTCTCTAGACAACCTTAAGAAAGGTAAAAAAAATAATAATTGTATACAAATCTATTAAAAATGTAGCTGGCTTAATATAGAAAGCTTCTAGTAACTCGATTGGGAAAGTGGGAAGATGGCATGCTCATTTGCCAAAAGGGGACTAACGCTTTCGAATAATTTGAGTTTTGTTTCAGTTTTCAGTGCAAGACTTAGCAAGATAAAAAGAAAACGAGTATTGGACGCCTGTATTTCGCCGGTAGGCGTTGGTTTGTAATGGCAGTGTTTGGCGGAAATCCCCAATGTTCGGTTAAGTGCTTCTAATGCACGTTTATGATTTTCGATGCTGACAAAACTATGCCCATTGCGGAGTTTTTTGCAATATTACATATAGGTTCCAGAATATTTTGAAGATTTAACGGTAATTTTAATGCTAAATAAGCCGTACGGTATCCTTCTAACAATGTGACTGCTTTTCCAGAAGAAGCAACTGAAACAGCAATATAGGATCTCGAACGAGCAGTGGCTAAAACCATTGACATGAATTTCTTACCAATTCCACCAGGGGCATCCAGGAAATATAAACCACCATTTCCATCATCAATTGCTTTCATTAATGTATCATAATGTTGAGGATTCAACAGGGGGGATTCAACATTTTCTTGAACAGCAAAATTCCATTCCTCCCCGTTCCAATTCCATGATTTGGCGCTGGCATTCCTAACCTGTGTAATAAACTATCGCACACGAGGTTACACTTGTCTTTGATCAATATTAAAGCTTGATTATGTATCTCTTCATTAATTTCAAGATCGGGATTTCTGGAAATCAAATGCCAGAGGTTAGATGGGTTCAATGGAGAGCATGTCGAGGGTCAGTTTTTTGTTCTTCAGTAGTTTCTTTCCGTATATTTCGTATCCTTCTTGAATTAAAAAATGCATTAAAAACAATACAAATTACTTACACAATTAAAAAATTCAAAACAAAAAAAACAGGTATATTTATGATTTCATGTTTTGAAAAACGCAGCCAAGCCGCTGCGATTAATTTTTATATTCAGCCAGGCTCCGTTTTTCATTTACTTTTGCGGATTACGTTATTAGCCAAAACGTTTCGTTTTAAGGTTGTCCAGTTTTCACATATTTTGCTGTGTGCACCAAAAGGAAAATTGTTGTTGCCTTGGCCAATTTTTTTCGAGCCAAATTTAAGGTTATTTATTTAGAAAGAAAGAAAAAGTTAAATTTCCCTGATATAGGTGTCAAGTTGATGTCAATGCATCAATAAGTCATCTATTTTTTTCCCTTTTGCACTTAAGGTTCGTTTCGTTGTATAAAAAGCCGTTTACTTTTCATTTCGTCAACGAAAAAGTTTTCATTTTGAAAACGAATAAATCTTGCGGAATGCGAAAACAGAAGCCCCAATTTATGCGTATTCAAAAGTAAATCGGAAAACTTTTGTGAATGTGAATAACGATGCCTGGCTGATTATATATAGATATACATACCTGCAGTAGTTTCATATCATATATTCTCATGTTTCATATGATTCAAAAGTGGCAATACCCGAAAATTTTAAATTTTAATCGATTTTATTCCATTTAACACGGTTCAAAATAACACAACGCAAATAGATAAAAACACACAGCTCTCAAACAAACAGCTCTAACGAAAACAAGAAAGAGAATATGTAGTATGTAATATGTAAAGAGAATATGTACATACATACATATTTGTTTCTTTTTCCTTTTTTGCGTATGTTTCTTGACAGTGTCAAAAATGAGTAATCATTGTTTTTGTTATTTTTTAAGTTACCTATTTATAGTTTTGTTATTCTTTTTTCACTAACTACTTTATAATTAATCCCTGAATGGTTATGAATTAAAAAAATTTGATAAATTTGAACCAAATGCCATTATTTTTTTATCCAAAGTCAAAAAATTTAATTTATTTTCAGTGTGTAAAGAGTTTCTTGACATACTGTACATATGTAACAGCATTTTCTGGTCAGATCAATTGTAGATAGAACAAATTTAGGGGAATTCCCTTTGTTGTGGAAATTTAAGGGGACTACATATTTGCAATAGAAATGTTGGTTTTGTGAACTGTCAATGCAATCAGACGCGTTTGGTAAAGACATTTTTTATACGCAAATTTGTTTTTTTTTGTGAAACATGGATCAAATTCCTTTCCTTTAAGGCTTCCTACATTCCTACATTGGGACCGATTGTGACCCTAATAAATTTATTTTTAAATTTTCTCCACTTTTTCTCTCCAGCGCATACTGCAAATTTTTATGATCTTCAGAAACAGTTTGCCTCATGGCTATTTCTTTCTATTCTCCCTGAAAGGTTGGCTTGTTGTAGCCGTCTACGGATCGTTGGAGCACTATCTTCTAGTCCAATTTCTGCTCCGATAGCGTCTGACGACTTAAACGGGTTCACATTCCTCAAAGAGAAGTATGTACATATGTAGTGGTGAAGTGTTATGATTGTTTACTGTGGCCTTACGCAATTTTCTTGACTAGGTTTTCATTTTTAAAGCATTTTACAAAATTATGAGATATTTTCATTTATTTGGTAATGGCTAGAATAGATTGGCCTTTTTTCAGACTAAGAGCCATTCGGGCTTATCCCTCTGTACAATAAGACTTTCGGCACATTCTTGTAAGAAAACATTTATTTAATTATATTTTGACTTTAGCTAAATGAAATGAATGTTAAATGGCCAAAATGCCAAGAATTTTCAAATTATTCACTTGATATTGAAAAATGAAACAATTTCGATTAAAGCTCTGATATTCGTCACGGAACTGCAACAAATTGACAAACAAAATATACCACAGAAAATGTTGTTTTAAAGTACGATAAATGTGATTATTATAAACAAATATTTTTATACCCGATACTCAAAATGAGTATAGGGGTATATAAAATTTGTGGTGAAAGTGGATGTGTGTAACGTCCAGAAGGACGTGTGTCTCTAACACACAGGTTTTATGGTCGGCTTTTCCAATTGCAAAAAGTGAGTACCCAGATCTCAGATACTATAAGAGATAGAGCAACCAAATTTGTGATCCATTTATTTATTTATTTATTAAATTAAGAATTATCTGTTAATAATGGTACTTAGTTACTAAAGGCGGAAAAAGATAAGTTCAAAGTTAGCTAAATTTAAATGATTATAAATATTGCATGCAATTAGTTTAAGAGACAGTTCAGGAGATAGGGTTTGACAGAGGGAGTTATAATTATGGCATAAAACCCTAAAAGGTTCATGATCAGCATAATTAGACCTACATATGGGTAGACGGATAGGCCTAAAAGTACGGGTAGGTCTAGATGGAACGGCCAAGTCAATCTGACCCAAGAGAGTTTGGGAGTCAACAGTCCCAAGAAGGAGCTTGTGCACGAACATTACGCCATTGCATATTCTGCGATGGTGCAACGACGGCAGGTCAATAAGATTTAGCCTAGACCGGTAGGGTGGCAAGATTCTACCTGTGTCCCAGTTAAAGTTCCGAAGGGCAAAAATTAAAAATTGCTTTTGCACGGATTCAATAACAGCCTGCTGCTCTTTATACTGCGGGCTCCACACACAAGAACAATACTCCAATATAGGACGTACCAACGAGATGTACATTTGTTTCGTAACGTACGGGTCGTCAAACTCCTTGGACCAACGCTTGATGAACGCTAAAACACCCTTAGCTTTATTTACAGTTGCAGCTATATGGGTGTTAAAACACATCTTATGATCAAAAAGGACTCCGAGGTCATTTGAACTCGAAATTCGCTCAAGGACATGATTTCCTAGAACATATGGGACAAAATGAGGAGCGCGACGGTAAAATGTCATAAGTTTGCATTTGGAAAGGTTCAGAAAAAGAAGATTAGTTGAACACCACAATAGTAGTTCACTTAGATCAAGTTGAAGGCGTGTGTGCAAATACCAATCAGAGTAAGAAAGACAGATTTTGACATCATCAGCATACATTAGTGTAGTAGAGTATGTTATAACTTGAGGAAGGTCATTCACAAATAAAATAAACAGAAGCGGGCCCAGATGACTTCCCTGTGGCACACCTGAAGTAACATTAACAGTATTTGACAACACGTTAGAAAACAAAACACGTTGAGTACGGTTAGAGAGATAGGACAAAATCCAATCTAGAAGATTCGTTGGGAACCCTAATAAAGAGAGCTTGTGAATAAGCAGAGCATGGTTCACAGAATCGAATGCCTTGCTGAAGTCCGTAAAAACTACATCCGTCTGCAAACCAATTTGAAAATTTGATATACTCCTGTGATATCGGACCTTGACAAGTTTCTTTCAAAATTTTGCCAACCGCTCCCGCAAAAAACGAAATTTTGTGACATCCACAATTTTAAAGATTCGAGAAAACTAAAATCATAGATAATTTACCATATCTATCAGATTGCTGAGTCTAGATCAGATCAGATAATTTGTATAGCCAAAAGGAACAAATCAATTTGCAGTTACTAAGTAGCGCCGACGACACACATTAAGTTTTTATACCCGATACTCAAAATGAGTATTGGGGTATATTAGATTTGTGGTAAAAGTGGATGTGTGTAACGTCCAGAAGGAATCATTTCCGACCCCATAAAGTATATACATATATTCTTGATCAGCATCAATAGCCGAGTCGATTGAGCCATGTCTGTCTGTCCGTCTGTCCGTCCGTCCGTCCGTCTGTCCGTCCCCTTAAGCGCCTAGTGCTCAAAGACTATAAGAGCTAGAGCAACGATGTTTTGGATCCAGACTTCTGTGATAGGTCACTGCTACAAGAATATTTCAAAACTTTGCCCCGCCCACTTCCGCCCCCACAAAGGGCGAAAATCTGTTGCATCTACAATATTGCAGATTCGAGAAAAATAAAAACGCAGAATCATAGAGAATGACCATAACTATCCAGTTGCTGAATTTGGATCAGATCGGATAATTTTTATAGCCGAGAAGAAAAAAAACAATATTCAGTGGCCACGCAGCGCCCGACAACACGCTCAGAATAATTTTCTGTATCTTTCGCACGCACTCTTTGTCGTGTCGTTTAATATTAGCGGCGTCTGCCGAAGTAGAGCCATACTGACTAAGTATCGGGTTTATATGATCTACATGAATGAATTAACTTTTTTGACTATTTTATTTCGAATTATGTAAGGTAAAGAATGTTTGAGGTTGATTGACAATGCTTAAAACTTAGCAACAGCCGCATAAATTAATGTAAATTTTGATTATCTGTGACAAGAATTGACAAGTAGTCATATTTACAATTTAAAGAGAAATTTCTTAATTTATTATTTTTTCCTGTCCCAAGCGGTTATCAATTTTTGAAAGATCAGGGTGATCTGTTGTCTCTTTTACAGGATACACAAGTTTTTTAAGTTGAGTTGCCATAGGAATGTTAGTTTTGGTTGACATAATATCTGTGAAAAGAGTAGAACGGATTACAGATTAATTTCTGATGTATTCTAATAACCTTAGGCCTTAAACTTAATCTTAAATTACATTAATTAAGTATGTAAACATCGAATAGCTTTGCCATTTACCAATCGATAGATTTCAACATAGATGTTTTCGAAACTTCAATTCATTAAAATTTTAGCCATGGATAGCTTTACAAGAAAAGAACCCGCTGAAATAGTGAAGCTCTACATCGAAAATCTATATCATCTATATCGCAAAAGTATTGCGGCAAACATGGACTGACAAAACTATTCGTCGTTTGGCGTCGAATTTGTTTGATCGTCAACGACCAAGACGTTCCAATGAACTTGTTGAAGCAGTGAGGAAGTGCGTTGCCCACGACCCAAAAGTGGCGTCACTAAAACCACAATGCGCCGTATTTTGAAGGTTGATATACATTTTTTTCCGTATAAAGTGCAATTAACACAACAAATTTTGAGGAAAGATCATCCACGTCATGTGGAATACGGCTAAATATTCCAAACAGGTCAACGAAAATTCCCAGCACGTCTGTTAAAAAGAGGCGATATTGACTAGCCACTCAGAACGCTTGATTAAATGGATGTGTGTAACGTCCGACTCCGAATCGTTTCCGACCCCATAAAGTATATATATTATGGATCAGCATCAATAGTCGAGTCCATTGAGCCCTGTCTGTCTGTCCGTTTGTCCGTCCCTATGAGCGCCTAGTTCTCAAAGACTAAGAGCTAGAGCAACGAAATGTTATGTATAAATGGGTATAAATTTAGAGTTGCAGTCGCCGCCAATGTTCACATACTGTACTGAAAGATGGCACACCTTGTAAATAGAACATAAAAAAAAACCATAAAATTAAACCGGTTATTTAAATACCTGTTTCAGCATAAAACTTCTTAGTCCGATTTGTACTGGGTTCATAGTCCATATTTTTTTGACGGGTTGACCGAAAGTAATTTTGAAGTATATTTACATTATACGTTTCTTTGGCTATGTCTGAGTTATCCGAGTCCTTCATAAAACAAAAATGATTAATACATAGCTATAAAATAGTATGAAGTATTTTTAGATAACGAAGTAAACAAAAGCAAAATAAAAGGAACAATTTATAGTGTATATATTTTAGTATAATGCACCTACATACATATATACATATGTACATTTGTATATATGTATAAGCATACCACTGTGAACATTGTTACCTTTTCGTCATTTTTCACACTGGCGATATTGGTGTTTTTTTCAATATATTTTGAGTTTTTAATATCCCCTATTCCTGAGCTATTGATTCGCTGAAAATCAGGTATCAGATGAGCCGGTGGTAGCTTTAAGGTATCTGTGTCCGGAATCCTCCAAACTTTAAGATCATCATTCCAAAATGAATTTTCTAAAATAACGGTGGGACACCTAGTAGAAAATTAATTTATGTGTTAGTTGTATACCAAAAATGTGGATTGTTACCAATTTTTTCCGTTTCTTCGAAGAATAGGTTGAACTTTACTAAATAGTTGTTGAAAAAATTTTATATTACGTCCGAGATTTCGAATTTCATCTAAATAGTCCTCTCGATCTAGTTGAAACTCGGAGTTTAAATCAGCAACTTCTCTTTCAAGCATTTTAATTTTTTGTCTGCAGATTCTAATATGCTCATTTTTTATGTTTATTTCCTGTGTAATACTGGCATAATGACCTTGTAAAAGGTCTCGATCCTCGCTTTCGACTCTACTTAATGCGTTGGCAATGGCGCTCAAGTGGCGTTGTGCTGCTATTTTTCGTACTCGATGCCGTTCCCTTAGCTGCAAATCATTAGCACGTTCACCTCCAATCAATGTGCGTTTAATAAAATCGATACGATTTCGTGCTTGTAGTTGCAGCTCATCACTTGATTCGGAAACCTTTGGTTTATTTAGCTGAGATAGGTAGTCTATTTCAGGTTTTGGTGTCGGGAAATTCATATTGGCAATGTACAAGTCTGCACTTGGACTTTGCAAATCAGAATTTATATGAGATAATTGTATTATATTGTTATCTTTATCTTTTCTACGGAATATTTTTTGTTCGGATTCTTCGAGCATTCTTTTTAAATGTAATATTTCACTTTGATACTGACGAAGTTGAGCATCTTTTGGATCTTCGTTAATTTTTGGTTTATTTGAAATATTCTTTGCCCTGCTAGCGTAACGCAGTGTGGATAGAGTCTCGTCGTAGTTTGAGTCTGCTGGTGAAATACATGATATCATGAGAGTTTTTGTATTGCCTCCTAAAGAGTCCTATATATGTATATATATATATATATATTACATTATATAATAAAAAAATTACATGCGTTATGTTTTTATTTATTTTGTGTATTTACCTGCAGCAGTCGTGTAAGTTTTGAATCCCTATATGGTACATGTTTTGATTTACTATCGACCAATGATGAAATTACGTTTCCCAAAGCAGAAAGCGACAAATTAATTTTTGTAGCCTCTTTAAATCGCGAACCCTGAGCTCCAGTCTTACGCTGTCTTTCTGAACCTGCCAAATCAACCAAACTTAATTTTCCGCGACGAATTCCTCCCATTATATCCCCCGATGCAATGCTCGATACTGATGAGGAAGAAGGTCCTTGAAATTGCTCCAAACTTATTGTAAATATAGTGTGCGAGCGGGAGCTTTGTTCATTCATTAGAGTAGTAGCTGTAACACGGTTTTTGTTGCCTAATTTGAGCCAATAATAGCATTGTTTTGCATTTATTACTGGTTGTGTAGTTAAAGTTGGCACTGTCACTCCCACGCCTGGCATTTCTTTGAGCGGATGATTCATAATACCCGTAGAATCAGACAATAAATCTCGAATATTTTCATTGTAAATTTCCAAATAACTTACTAAAGCCAAATACCTAATATTAGTGGCCATAGATATTGTTTCAAAAATATGTTCAAAGCATCTGGGTATTATTCCGCAATTATAACCATCTTTAGCGCTACCATCGCCCTTTTAAAGAGATACAAAATTATTACTTCAGCAACAACAAAATAAAATTCCTTTACCTGCATCGTATGTGTTTTGCCACATCCTGTCTGGCCATAGGCAAATATCGTGCCATTGTATCCATCTAACGTGCTCTCCACTAAAGAATAGCACATTTCGTTATAAATAACTTCAGTTTTTGAGATCATGTCGTACACACTATCGAAGGTGAACATTTTTTTTTGACTATTACGGGCTGACGGATTAAGCACAGATATTGCGTATTCATTAATTTCAACAATGTTCTGTAGAAAACCAAATAAATAATAAAATGTGTATAAATTAAATTTTTTCAATTAGCTCGGTAAAAATTTTGTCGTTCTTTATTCTGCCTATACACACTCAGTTTTTTCATTCTGGAGTTTAAAGAGTATAGTGTTATATGTATCGTCATACCATGATGTGAAGGCGTCTTTCGGCATTATAAGGACCACTATTGCATGAACAGTTGACCGTCAAGAACAATCTTGAATCATGTATCCTCTTCTGTGATACAGAATAATTTTACAGTCGCGCAAAAAAAAGCTCTCGTCAATTAATACGAAGAAATTGTAATCAAATACAGCCACGGTTACTTAAGCAATTTTTTTTATCATTTTAACTGGGTTGAATCATGAACTTCTTAACTTTCACCGGAAACAGAGCCACAATTGACGATATGATTGTTTAGAAGCGAATCAAATGCCAAAAAAGTTTTCAAGGCAAATCTTTTTTTTTTTTTTTAATATTGTCAAAACCAAAAAAGTTAACTTTTTCGATAGAAAAAAGTGGGATGAACAATTCTGACTGGTACACAACCATTTTTTGAGCGGAAGATTTTAGAGAATTGAGGCAAGCCAATCTTCAAATACGGATTGTACTTTACTACCACAATCCGAGCTCTCAGACATAGAACCACTCAACACATTTTTTTATCCACCCATACTTTGGAATCAAGGAATCATCTTCCTTGCAGACATATCCTGAAATCTATTGAATTATTTTTGTTTCCAAAAATTTGAGTGGTCAACGTTTTTTCAACGCCGAAAGAGGCTGGAGAAGGCTTGTTTCAAAACTTGTCAGTCCAAAACCGATTTTTCAATATATTGATTTTCAACTACTTAAGGTTGATATCATACATATTTTTTCTGTATTGATTTTTGTTTTGTTTTTTTAACAGCTATTCCTGTTATTTCGTCTTTTGGGTATTTTACATGCATTCATATGTACATACATACATATGTATTGTAAATACCTAAATAATAAAAAATTAGTAATGTAATTAATAAGATTCAATAAAAAATCCATAATAATTTTGGGTCTGCATTTACTTTAAAAGTTTTGTTAGAATTAATATTATTTAACTGAACTTACTTCACATTTACTTTCATTTTCTTTTCGGTTCAAAGGGCGACAACGCACCACAACTTTTACATTTTCACTCATTTTCGCTCGATAGTCAAACTACTAATGGCGCGTCCAATCCCCAGAATAAAATTATATTATACAACACGTGAATATGTACATATATACTACAGGTTACATATACTAGAAAGGTAACCGCAACTTCGTTGTTGTGGCAGTCTGATGTAATTACATACATACATATATACATACATATGTACTTTTCTAGAAGCCAACCTTATTTTAAACACTGGCTTAGCTTCAGCCGAAAAAGAAATTTAAGAGAACATTTTATTGCCAAACAGTCACTAGGGCAAACAGTTGATTTATACAAATAAACTCAAAATTGTCATAAAAAATCGGCAGACCCACATCATAAATCTACCATAAAATATTTTTGACCCATCCTTTATTATGTGACCGGTCTAAAAAAACACACAAAATAGATGTGGTTCCCTGGAATTATCCTTATTGAACAGGCTATTAAAACTTGCTGATTTTCTGTAATCCGCCCCGAACTGAATCAGTCTTTAGTTTTTATAGGGGTATAGGGGTATATTAGATTTGTGGTGAAAATGGATGTGTGTAAAGTCCAGATGGAAGCGTTAGTGACCCCTCTAAAAATATTCGCGAAACTAAAGCGTAGAATCGTAGAGAATGACAATATCTTCTAGAATCTGCAGAATCTGAACCAGATCGTATTAATTTAATACGTCTGTCTGTCTGTCCGTCTGTCCGTCCGTCTGTCCATCCCCTTCATCGCCTAGTGCTCAAAGACTATAAGAGCTAGAGCAACGATGTTTTGATCCAGACTTCTGTGATATGTCACTGCTACAAGAATATTTCAAAACTTTACCCCGCCCACTTCCGCCCCCACAAAGGGCGAAAATCTGTTGCATTCACAATATTGCAGATTCGAGAAAACTAAAAACGCAGAATCGTAGAAGATGACTATATCTTCTAGAGTGCAAAATGTGAACCAGATCGTATAATTATTATAGCCAGAATCAAGAAAACAATTTCACTCTTTCTCGCTCTGTCTCTCTCTAACACACAGGTTTCATGGTCGGTTTTGCCAATTGCAAAATATGAGTTCAAGGATCTCAGAACCTATAAGAGCCAGAGCAACCAAATTTGGTATCCACACTCCTGTGATATCGGACCTTGACCATTTTGTGTCAAAATTTCGCCACACCCCCTTCCGCCCCCGCAAAGGACGAAAATCTGGGGCATCCACAAATCTCAGAGACTATTAAGGCTAGAGTAACCAAATTTGGTACACACACCTTTAAGTACCTTTAAGATGTCACTATAAAACGTATATCTCAAAATTTCGCCTTACCCCCTTCCGCCCCCATAAAGGACGAAAATCTGTTGCATCCACAATATTGCAGATTCGAGAAAACTAAAAACGCAGAATTATAGATAATTGCTGAATCTGGATCAGATCAGATAATTTTTATAGCCAAAAGGAACAAATCAATTTGAACTGGCTACGAAGCGCCCGACGTCCCGCTCAGACTGATTTTCTGTCTCTCTCGCTCGCACTCTTTGTCGTGTCGTTTAATATTAGCGGCGTCTGCCGGAGGAGAGCCATACAGACTTAGTACTTTGAAGGGAAAACTAAAAACTCAGAATTATAGGAAACGACCATATCTACCCGGTTGATGAATCTGGATCAGATCGGATTATTATTATAGCCAGAAGAAACAAGTCCATTTTCAGCTGCTACGCCACGCCGTCCACGCGCTTACTCATTTTCTGTCTCTCTCTAACACACTCTTCGTAGTGCAATGTGTGCGTCCTCTGGCGGAGGTGAGCCAAACTGACTGAGTATCTGGTATAAATGAAGAGTCGCGGCCGTAGCTGCGACTCACAACGTTCCCGCTCCTTAAAAGTGGAATTGCTTATAAATTTTTCCTATAAAATTTTATAAATGTACAAAGCTCATATAAATGTATCCCGGCTCTTTTAATTTATGGACACGAACAAAAAATCCTACGAAAGGTTTTTTAAAACATTTTAGGGTATTTGGTTAATTATAAGTATAATATAATGTATAATAAGTGTTCCACTCCTCTATGCTTACCATTTAATTTTTGTCTCGTATTATAGTTTTCATTCTGTTGTACAGTTTAATTTTTTTAAAACGTAAAACGTAAAAGTTTATAGATATGAATTTGTACCGGTTACTTCAGTTATAGCCATTTTAGCATATTTTTCTCGAAATTAGCTTTTTATACCCGATACTCAAAATGAGTATTGGGGTATATTAGATTTGTGGTAAAAGTGGATGTGTGTAACGTCCAGAAGGAATCGTTTCCGACCCCATAAAGTATATATATTCTTGATCAGCATCAATAGCCGAGTCGATTGAGCCATGTCTGTCTGTCCGTCTGTCCGTCCGTCCGTCTGTCCGTCTGTCCGTCCCCTTCAGCGCCTAATGCTCAAAGACTATAAGAGCTAGAGCAACGATGTTTTGGATCCAGACTTCTGTGATATGTCACTGCTACAAAAATATTTCAAAACTTTGCCCCGCCCACTTCCGCCCCCACAAAGGGCGAAAATCTGTGGCATCCACAATTTTAAAGATACGAGAAAACAAAAAACGCAGAATCGTAGAGAATGACCATATCTTTTAGACTGCAGAATCTGAATTGGATCGTATTACTATTATAGCCACCATCAAGAAAACAATTTCATTTTTTCTCGCCCTGTCTCTCTCTAACACACAGGTAGCATAGGCGGCTTTGCTTAGAGTAAAACATTAGCGCCTAGATCTCAGAGACTATAAAAGCTAGAGCAACCAAATTTGGTATCCACACTCCTAATATATCGGACCGAGACGAGTTTGTTTCAAAATTTCGCCACACCCCCTTCCGCCCCCGCAAAGGATGCAAATCTGGGGATATTCACAAATCTCAGAGACTATTAAAGCTAGAGTAACCAAATTTGGTATCCGCACTTCTGTTAGATCTCACTATAAAACCTTTATCTCAAAATTTCGCCCCACCCCCTTCCGCCCCCACAAAGGACGAAAATCTGTTGCATCCACAATATTGCAGATTTGAGAAAACTAAAAACGCAGAATCATAGATACCGACCATATCTATCAGATTGCTGAATCTGGATCAGATCAGATAATTTTTATAGCCAAATTAAACAAATCAATTTGCAGTGGCTACGCAGCGCGTGACGTCACGCTCAGACTGATTTTCTGTCTCTCTCGCACGCACTCTTTGTCGTGTCGTTTAATATTAGCGGCCTCTGCCGGAGGAGAGCCATACTGACTTAGTATCGGGTATAACTCTAGAGTTGCGGTGTCCGCAGCAACTCACAACGTTCCCCCTCGTTTTACTTTGAGGTTCTGACAGAGGTTTCAAATTTGACGCACGCGCTTCAGAGGACAGGCGGCAGGCGAACAAATGTGGGGGTGAAAAACATTGAGCTTGTGGCCAAAAACTGACTTTTATTTATGTATTTTTGCTGATAAATTTATCGTGTTGTATTTACGTGAAATCAATAAAGTTTTTAATGATAAAGAAATAACACCAAAACAAAGTTAATCGATTCGAATGATGGTAATATAAAAAGCAATGATTTTTTTTTGAATTGCAGTCTGTTCTACTTCCATTTCCATGTGGTTCAGATTCATGTTATGACTGCAATGTAAGACACAATTTGCAAATCATGTTTTATTGCTTTTGTAAGGTACGACAACGATACAAATGGGAAATAGTTATTAACGAAACGAAAATCAACGACAGTAATTTTACCAGACTATGTTTTGTATATATATTATTATCAATGGTTTTCATTGCCAATGCTCTACCACCAGTAATTCGATTAGGTAAGTTCACCTCACATTTATAACGCTATCACGTGAATGAACCATCAATTAATATTTTTGCTATCTGCATTGCCAAAGGTGCAATATTTACAGAAGATGAACGTGAGAGCAGTATCGAATCTGCATTTAAGTACGCAATATACCGCATCAACAGGGAAAAGTCTCTTTTACCCAACACTCAACTTATATATGACATTGAATATGTTCCGCGCGATGACTCTTTTCGGACAACAAAAAAGGTTTGCCGACAATTGGAGGCTGGAGTTCAAGCGATTTTTGGTCCAACAGACCCATTGCTTGCTGGTCATGTACAATCTATATGCGAAGCGTATGACATTCCCCACATAGAAGTTCGCATTGACCTTGAAATGAATTCCAAAGAGTTTTCAGTCAATTTATATCCATCTCACAATGTTCTAACATTAGCATATAGGGACTTAATGGTATACCTAAATTGGACAAAAGTCGCCATAATTTACGAAGAAGATTATGGTAATTAGTATTATATTTTAAGTGCTACAGTTTAACATTGAACTTTTTTATTTAGGACTTTTTAATTTGATGCACTCCTCGAATGAGATGAAAACCGAAATGTATATAAGGCAAGCTAGTCCGGAGACCTACCGTCAAGTTCTACGCGCCATTCGCCAAAAGGAAATTTACAAAATAATAGTTGACACAAGTCCATCGAATATAAAAAAATTTTTCAGATCCGTACGAAAAATATTTGTGATTTGATTTAAACATACATACATATATACATATGTACATGTACATGTACATGTAAATGTAGCACTATAGTGCTATTTGGGGAATTTTGAATGATTTTATACATTGCAAAAATTCACAAACAGTAATCCAAGTGGGATCAAATTGTAGGTATCTATGAAGAAAAATATTAAAATATGTTCGGAAAAACAACCAAAGTTGAATTAGATTAAATATCGCCTCGTTTTAAGATTTATTTTTTTGACCCATATAAGGTTCCGAACTCTATAACTTATTAGTTTTCTTTGCTGCAGTAATACAAATTAAAAAAATAATAATTCAGATCAGCTAATAAAAAAATATGATTTGAAAAGTTGTATTTTTCCAATATTTTGTTTTGCCATCTTATTTAAAAAACAATGATAGTTTAAGAATCGTTGCGGATTGTGTGTGCAGTTACAGGTATCTACAATTCTGTAAGACCTAAAGGCAATATTATTGTATGTACATATATAT